AAACTGTAACACAGATCGTACACCCCCTCTAGTTGGAGAATGCTCCTGATAATAAACTCCCTTAGGTTCCAAATGTTCCTGATTATATACTGAACTCTCCAAGGTTCCAAATGTTCCTGATTATATACTGACCTCCCCAAGGTTCCAAATGTTCCTGATTATATACTGACCTCCCCTAGGTTCCAAATGTTCCTGATTATATACTGACCTCCCCTAGGTTCCAAATGTTCCTGATTATATACTGCAGAACTCCCCTAGGTTCCAAATATTCCTGATTATATACTGACCTCCCCAAGGTTCCATATGTCCCTGATTATATACTGACCTCCCCAAGGTTCCAAATGTTCCTGATTATATACTGACCTCTCCAAGGTTCCAAATGTTCCTGATTATATACTGACCTCCCCAAGGTTCCAAATGTTCCTGATTATATACTGACCTCTCCAAGGTTCCAAATGTTCCTGAGTTCCTCGTGTGAAAGATTAGGTCCTAGGAACTCCACTATAGCCTTGATCTTGTCTGTGTACTGAACCTATACAACGTATATTTTTATCTAGAACTAGCATAAGAACCCAGCGTTGCCCAGGGTACTCATAGTTACTCCTGTTGTTAACCGGATTTGGTCGTAAATTTAAATTTTTTTCCCCTTTAAAAGTGACCCACTCGACTTAAAATCTCAAAACCAAGCTAGGACCATTCCCTATCGGTCAAGGGGTTTATGAGTTATGATTGGACGTACACATAAACAAACAACAGAGATTAATTCTTTATATAGATATATAGATGAGTTAAGTCACATGGGCCCGACTTTAATGAATTAAAACTGCCTGCCGTCGGTTCAAATTTAATAACCAATTCAAATCCTTCCTTATTCGATAGTTAAAATTTGAACCGGCAGTAGGTAGTTCAACGACGTAGCTCAAATTCTTTAACTCTGTCCCTCCCCCATAAATGCCCCTTGTAAGTATATTTTTTTTTTGGTATTAGTACAATAAGTTAATTTTAATTTCTAAAAGAAACCACTTCAGAGTGTTTATTTATCTTTCTACCTGATCAATGTTACCCTCGAGAACTACACTTAAAATTCTATTCTCAGCCATCCATTCCATTACTGTTTCTCCACTAAAATAATTAGGAATTATAGAGGCATACATTACTCTTTCTCCACTTAAATAATTAGGAATAATAGAGGAATACATTACGGTTTCTCCACTAAAATAATTAGGAATAATAGAGGCATAAATTACTGTTTCTCCACTAAACTAATTAGGAATAATAGAGGCATACATTACTGTTTCTCCACTTAAATAATTAGGAATAATAGAGGCATATATTACTGTTTCTCCACTAAAATAATTAGGAATAATCGAGGCATACATTACTGTTTCTCCACTAAAATAATTAGAATAAAAAAGGCATACATTATTGTTTCTTCACTAAAATGACTAAGAAAATTAAATCATACGGTTAATTCAACCCCCCCCCCCCAAGTAAAAATTGAAAATCTTCCTGCATTTCAAAACTGCCTCTCAGATCTCCACCAAAAATTGTATATTTCATCAAAAGCTGAAAATAAATTCAATGACTTTTTATTATGAAAAAAATGAGAAAAAAACAAATTTTTCTATTTTACTTTTATTAAAACATAATCGATTTTTAACAGATCTATCGATCTCATCCATGTGAAACTAATCTAATGAAGTTTTTGCTGTTGTATAGATGGAAAATAAAAAGTGGTCCTAGAATAGATCCCTGTTGTGCACCCTACCAACCTGATGGCATGTTTATATTTCTTTCTCTCAGACTCCTCAATCAGTCTGGATACCTCCTGTTCCAAGGATCGTATGTCAAGATTTTTGAATGATATTTTAAATTTCTTTTTTAATGTATATTAAAACAAAAAATTCCAAATATATAATTTTACATTTTCAAATACCTTCAAGAGGTTGAGGGCAAAACTACTGCATTCCACAAATTAACTAAAATTCAAGTATTCTTGAAAAATTGATTGTTCACACTGCACATGCAAGCATTAAAATTTACAGACAATAGTTCCATTCCTTAAGTCCCATCATCCGGCAGTTATAGTGCGGAGTTTTCAACATTCGTCCAATTATCTCCAGTCTTATACTATCACATTCTCCAGTATGAGACGGCCAAATATGCTGACATAAAACCTAAAAATTGAATTTACTTAAAATTTATGAAATCTTTTAAAAAATAATTTACATACAGTTAATTGATTCCAGGGGTACGATTTTTTCTACACATACGAAAAACGGCAATTTAGATCTCTTTCCGAAGTTAGGATGAGTGAATTACCTTTAAACTGTAACACAGATCGTACAGATGGTTCATATCCTTAGATTTTAGATCCTCCTCTTTTATGCTCTAAATTAGTGTAAATTCGTTATCTTCAAACCGTTATATAAATTGAGGTTTTTTAAATTTGATTTTTTTATTTTTATTTTATTATCAGTAAATTTTCAATGCGTGAAAAAGCTGATTTTTAAAAAGAAGCACTCTTTTTGAGTGAAGCACTTACAAAACGTTTCCCACAAAATTTTTCAAAACCCAACTAAACGTTTCCCCACACAATGTTTCTTGACACAAAGAGTTTCCTCCACAAAACATTTCCCCACAAAATGTTTCCTGACTATACGTGACACAAAATGTTTCCTACCACAAAACATTTCCTGCCACAAAACGTTTCCCCACACAATGTTTCTTGACACAAAGAGTTTCCTCCACAAAACATTTCCCCACAAAATGTTTCCTGACTATACGTGACACAAAATGTTTCCTACCACAAAACATTTCCTGCCACAAAACGTTTCCCCACACAATGTTTCTCGACACAAAACGTTTCATGCTATAAAACATTACATTTCACAATATGTTGACCATAAAATGTTCCACAAACAAATTTCTTGAAACAAACACTTCCTGCCAAAAAAAAATGTTTCCTGCCACAAAACTTTTCATAACAAAATGTTTCCTGTTAAAAATGTTTCCCCACTCAATGTTTTTTGACACAAAACATTTCCTCCACAAAATGTCACCTCTCCAAATTTTTTATCAAAAATCTTTTTAAAAAATTGTAAAAAATTTTCATTTTTTTCTCTTACGCTTTTTAATTGGTATCTAAAGGAGGATAAATGAAATGGTTGCTTAAGAAGGGTAAAAATAACCTTCATTCTCTAATATTTTTCAATAATATTCAATCTATAGTAGTTTTAGTGACAAACACTCCATGGTCCAGAAATATAAGTTGGATTATAAAGCTTTTAACAAAATGTCTCCAGCTACAAAATATTACTCGTTACTCTGAAATGATAAAGAAAAACTTAATAAACATAAACTTGAAAACGACAACTACAGAAAAATGATAAAAAACATGAAAAACGTTGCCAGGGTTTTCAAAATTGAGTGAACTTAAGAAACAGTCATTTTGTGAAAGGCAACATTTTGACTAGTTCTTATATTTTGTGAAAGAAAACAATTTGTGGTAAGAAACATGTTTAAAGGAAAAAACGACTGATTGTTGTTTGGTAACAAGAAACATTTTTGGGTGGAAATGTTATGTGAGGAAACGTTTTCTGACAGGAAACATTTTGTAGAGGAACCGTTTTGTAAAGGAAACATTTCGCTTAGGAAATGTTTTGTGGTTGAATGTTTTGTAAGGAAACGTTTTGTGGGAAAAAATTGTGTGATGGAAACTTTTGTGGAGCAACGGTTTGCAAGTGCTCCGTTTGAGCACTGCGCATTTATTCTTCAATGAATTAAATGAATTAGAAGAGAACTTTAAATATTTTTAAACAATGAAACGGCCTTTTCGATCATTTATTTAAAAACAAGTAGATCTTTGTGTGGAAGCATTCCATTCGCGTATTTACTTGTTTTAACTTCCGAGATTTGCAGTTATATGTTTAATAAGATTTTTCTAAAACTAATTTCTAAAAAACTCAAACAAAAATCAGATCAAAATACCTTTGAGAACTTGAAAGCCGCATCCATCCCAGGAAATATAAACTTCTTGACGACGGGAGCTGCCAGAAGAGGAGCAGCGTTGGCCAAAGGGAGCAGCAGCATTGACATAATCTTAGCTGTCTGGTTTTCAGGGTTGCTAAGTTTCTCCTGGACTAACTTAAATCCGTCTCTGCTCACAGACAAATGAATTCTTTTTTCAGTGAAAAATGGTAGGATGACAATTTTTTTTGTAATTTTTCCAAAATAATCTACTGCAATTGTATAAAGTTATGAACAGCAAGGTAAATAATCCAGATTTAACTAGAAACTAAAATTTCTTTTTTAAAGTAAAAACCAATTCAATTTAGAATTATAAATTTTTAAATCCGAATTTTAGCATATCAACCTTTAGTTAAGACTCTGTGCTAATAGTTTTCATCCAAGTATTCAATTTTTGGAAGAATAAGATTTAAAAAAAAAAATAGTTAAAGCAAATCTACGACACAAGGTTGTAAAATATAGAGTTTGGAATATTAAAGTATGAGGCCAGTTATCAATTGTTTCTTCCCCTGTCGAAAAAAATGACTATTTGTCCCTGTCTCCGAACAGGTTAATTAGGTCGACCAGCCAACCATACTGCTCACGCGCATAGAAAGTAGGCGCACTTGGCGGCTCTCCATATGCAGGCAACATCTGGACACCTTTAAAGAGACTGTAAGCGTAATGTCAAGTAACTCTTCATGCAAAGATGGCAATGCCCGATTTACAACGGTACCCTTAAAGTTTAATCTGATCAAGTATGTATTGACTGTATAAACTGTTTATTTTCATTTGTGTTTTCTCTGCAAAAATCTTGCACATTTCTTGCGTATAAAAAAACAATGTAGAAATTCACAAAAAAGCGTTTCTTTCCATGTTTGTTGAGATAAAGGTTTTTAAAGGCCACTGTTGTAAATTAGGCAATAGAGGGTCACTTAAAGTTACGCTTACACTCACTTTGATTTAAAATAAGTTGTCACAATTCTGGCGTTTATTAAGGGACGGAGAAGAAATTTTATAGTTTCTCCGTTTAATTATTGGTACGTACAACGGTACCCTATATTTTTTGTCTGACCATTTACGACGGAGGACTCCTTTCTATTTAGGCATGGATTGCACACTAATTTAATATTTTAACCATAAAAAAGAAACAGACAAAGGTTTTTAAAAGTATCGTTAAAGATCGGAGAAGCAGAGTAAAAATGGAGGGGCACTTGCAGTAGTTTCATTGAACATAACAAATAACATTACTCTACAATCTACAGTGCAGTGTGTCCCTTATATAGCGTTAGAATTAGGAATGAGTCTAAAATGATATTTGATTTTTAATGCAGATCAAAAAGTATAGAATTAAGTCTATAAAATCAGACTTTAACTGGATTTCCTACTTTTCCCTTTTCCAATCTACATACAACTTTCCTTAACTAAAACTGGAAATAGGTATTAGAGCTTGTAATTAATGTTTCAAATTTTCTCCATTTTCATATGTGGAACCGGATCGATCTTGTACCTCTTTGATCGTCAATTCTTTCCGACCTTACGTTGATAGCACAATTTTGCTTGGTATTTGGTTTCGTATATAATGTTAAAGCGATAACAATCTTATCTCCCACGGGCAGCCGCAGTACATTTTGAAATTCCGAGCCGGGTCAACCTTTCCGGTCCCAGCTTGTACTGTATCACCCGGACATTGGGTAAATAAAGCAGACACTCAATAGGACCAGCCGGTGCAACAAGGTTGACGCTGTCAGACTTTAGGTTTAATTTACTTTTACTAAAGGGTCAGAGGTGCGTGCTCCAGAAGTATTATTCTTTACTTAAACAAACTATATATAAAACTTGTTTATAAGTATAAACATAAATATTTCTCGTACCTGGTTCCTGAAATCTTCCTTTAGGAACTTGCTCTTTGTTTTTGTTGTTCCAGTCGTTGGTGTAATCAAATATTAAAGCTAAAACAATAATATTGTGGTCAATGGTAAAATCAATGTTGGTGTAATCAAATATTAAAGCTAAAACAATAATATTGTGGTCAATGGTAAAATCAATGTTGGTGTAATCAAATATTAAAGCTAAAACAATAATATTGTGGTCAATGGTAAAATTAATTACTACTCGTTGGCAGAATACAAATATATAAAATGTTTACTTTTATTCCAAAATTTCTTTTGACTTTCAGTAAATTACACATATCAATTCAAGGCTGCGAGCAGAAAAATACTAAACAGATTCAGTAATCTTTCTGTTTACAAAACGCAGTAATCACTATATAATTTGTAACAAACAAACAAATTATTTTGGTGTCTTTTAAAATGTGATTCTGTAGTATGTACTAGGTATCTTCTTTTACCGCCTTTGACCAATATTATAGCAGTGAGAAGCTCGATAAATAGTTCACACATTGTGTTGATTCCCTCCTAGAAAAGTCAAAAATCAAAAATACAATTGTTCTTGCATAAAATTAGTCAATTATGTAATCGTTTTAAACCAATAACTTTTATAACCATCCAACAGTTGACACTATTTAGGAGACCAATTTATCAGGAATCAAAAGAGCACAAATCAATTTTAAACGAAAAATGGAAACACATTCAATATTTGGCCATTTTCTTTAAAATGTTCAAATTCTTTCAGTTCATGCCTTGGAAGTTTTTTCTTACTATTAAATTGATTCATGTCGTGGAAAGCAAGAGTTCGATAAAAAACTAGTTTTATGGCTCTAGATCAACAATTTTCAAAATTACAAAAAACTAACAATTGGGGAATATTTAGTGGTTTGAAAAAATTTAAAAATTAACCTCCCTTAGCGATATATGATTATACAAATGCTTTAGCTGACCCATTTAAAAAAAAATTTCAGAACTTTTTTTCTAAAGGGGGGGGGGGCCACAAAACGTATTACTCTCCGGAAAATTTAAACAGTGTTTAAACATAACTTAGAATTGTCGTAGGAGGCTGATTTTTTGCATGCAAACTCAGAATTATGTATATTACATGCATTTTTTGGTTTTGAAGGAATCTGAGCAAAAGTGCGTGCGCGCGCGCGTTTTTTGTGAAAAAATGCGA